ATCATATACCCTAAATTCCTTCCATTGAACATTCATTGATTTGACATTTTTGACAACCAAATTACAATGTCTACAAGCATTAACCCTACCATCAAAAGCACTAAGCTTAACTCTATTGTACATGCTCATTTACGTATATGTTGTAACAAATTCTTACTTTCCTCATCCCACTTTGGCTATAAAACTCCCAACCATTAATTCACCTCCTACGAATCCCTTCAAGCTACCATTAATTTACTAATTTGTAGGACACTTCATAAACATAATGGACACATGCACAACATGTTCTATTATTATTAAAAAATAAAATTAACATTAAAAATTAGGCTTGGATATGCTTTGGATAGTTGGGAGACACACATATCCATTGCTTAGACATATATAAAATATATTACAAAGTTTGAACAAAGTTACTTAGGATCCAACGATACAAAAAAACAATATTAATTTATGCTTACGAATCCATCCTCCTTTAAACTTTAAAAAATGTTTTTTGTTAGCATGTTTGTGTTGTGTCACATGTCTTTGTCTATGGGAACCTGTTCTGTCTGTGGTGATGTAGACATGGGTGCTTTGGTTGTGCTGCTAACAATACCAATTCAGCCAACCTAGTTGGAATGAATTAGCTCATCGTGATGCTTTTGCACCTCCTCTCTTTATTAATGTTTTGTTCTGTATCTTGTTCTTTACTATTTAATCAATAAAGTTTCTTTTTTGTCGATAAAAAAAAAACAATACCAGTTCAGCCATAACCACTGCTCGCCTGCAGAGGAAGACACATGTCAACATAGGAATATTGTGAACTGTAATTTGGTACATGCACTCGTGCCACAATATTGGATAATTTTAAAGCTTACAATCTAATAAATATAATAATATTTTATAGGATGCTTAGATGTATGTGCGGCACAATGTAATTGCAGTCAATCATCTCGGCCCCATGCACCGTTGGGCTCTCAACCTGCTCGGCCGTTACCTCGGCCCAACTCCAGATCATAAATCACCCTCTCAGTTAATATTTTGGAATGTTACGGCAAGATCACTAAAAATGAGAACCGATATTTTTCAAACTATAACACAAGCGATATCCTTAATTGTACATAGATTTCAATTTAATGCATCACATATTGTGGCAATAGATTCATTCAAGCTATGTTAGTTGTAGCAATAGATCATGCATTGCACGGCATCAAAGTGCAGCGTCATTGATTTTGGCATAGTCAAATTTCTAATTCTATCTAAAAATTCACCTTCACTCCTTGTATTACAACAAGTTTTCAATATTTCTTCTTTCAATGAATCAAGCATTTCAATCAAAGCATCTTCATAGCTTCCTGTCACCAAACTCACCACCATTAAATGTACAATCTTAGTGCTTTTAGCAACAATTCTGTTTCTGCCCCCAGTTACTAAACTTTTTTAATCCCAATTATAGAATTTGTACCTTCCATTTTCTTAGCATTCTTACATTGACATTTTCAACATCTAAATTACCATGTCTGGCAGCACAAAACCTACCATCCCTGGCCCTCAATTTTAACTCTATTATACCTATCGATTGAATGAGTTCTCGACAATCTCTAGTGTTCTTAGACCGATGTCATTTTTTCTTTTAAAGAATCGAAGGAAATGAAAAGCAATGTTCAAAACAAGAACATCAGACAAGGGCTAACGCCTATCAAATTAGCAATCAGTAAACCTCTAATTGATTCAGGAGGATCATCATCCATCACAAGAAGGTGTCTCTAAATTTAAAACCCATCATAAATGTTTACATAATTGACAAAGTTAAAGCGCATTGCATCCTCATTATGCTTCTAAAGAAAAACCCTATACCCTTAATTTTGCCAAATTTTCAAAAACCCACATAACTACTACCAAAATGTAGGCAAACAATTAGTTAGCATTCTCAAATAACTTTTCTTGATTTGGAATCAAATATTGCATTGATTTCTATATCTTAAAACCCAAAAAAATCAATTAAGATAGCAATCCCAATATGCAAATGAAACAATGAAAGTTCCAAGGATCTCTTAGTTTAAACATGAACTTGCAGAGAGAGAGAGAGAGAGAGAGAGAGAGCACATACCTCCTAACCTGGTTCTTTAATGAAACCACACACATTGCTGCTATGCATTCTGGTTGCTTAAACCATAAGATTTATGTGTTTATATATACATATATTTACATTTAGAGAGAGAGAGAGAGAGAGAGAGAGAGAGAGAAGCAATGGAAAGGGACGTGCTCTGCTTTGCTCTGCTTACTACTAATGGGAAGCACAGAGTACACACACGCCACCATAGTATTTTTTATATTTTATTTATATTTCTCTTTTACTTTCTTTTATGTTCATAGTATTTTTTTTTAAATTCATAATTCAATGCACAATATACGCATTCACAAGGATTGATTTAACTACCAAAACTTATATTTTACGATTTTTTATTATTTTTTTATAAAAATAAATTTTTTAAATTTATTTCTAATATTAATTTTTGTTAAAAATTTTAAATATTTGAAAAAAAAAATTGAAATGCAACCAAACAAATTCCAATTATTTATTTGTTTTTTAAATTTTAGGATGAGGCAATTTAAAGAATAATTGGTAGGACAAAAATAGGTTTAAAAAATGAACATATATAGGAGAATTCTATTATACACATTCTATACTATATGCACTATGAGGTACGTTTTTTTTTTTTCTTTAGTTATGACATTATTTTTAGATATTTGATTATGATTTTTTTTATATTTAGTTATGACTTTTTTTTTATATATTTAGTTATGACTCTTTTTTTTTGTAGTTATGACTCAAAAATTATAGAGTTATGCCATTTTTTTCTATAGTTATAAAGTACATATGATACACACCTTTTGAGAGAGTGTGTACCACTGTCATAAATTTTTCCCTACATACATATATATAGACTATCCATATCCATGATATAAGGAAAACTCTATTGACCCAGATGTATATCCCAGAATTTTTTGAGTAAATGATTGTTGGGGATTAAATTTATGTAGTGTAGGGTTCATAGGAAACTCTGTTAACCCAAACTTATTCACTCAAAATTTTTTAGATAAATGATTGTGTAGTAGAGATTAATTTTTGGATAAATAAGGGTGGATTTATAATATTACTCGATATGCATATATAGAATAAATCTGAATAATAAATGACGATTTTGAATGATAAGGATGAGTGGTACACTGGTAGTATTACTCCCATGACAAAAGCATACACCAAGATACACGTAACTATTTACCTGAATTTAATCCAGAAACAACCCTAATTTTCAATTCAATTAATGATTATTACATAATATAGTAATTTCTCTAGGTTGTTGCTACTTCTTCCTTATGCAGCTCCTCAACTATCTATCTATCACCTTATCATTCCCCTATGTTTTCCCTTCTAATTTCTCCATGTGTTCATTTTTTCAAACAGGTAATGTGCATAATTTCAAGGGAGGGTTAGTGAGTGAGTGAGAGTGTTGGGAAGATTGATAAAGAGAGAATCACTGTGAGAGGAGTGTGAATTCAATTCTGTTTTCCCTTTTATGAATTGGGTTTGTCATTGGTTTGTTAATCAAAGTGGGTTTGTCTATGAATTGATGAAGTTGATGATGGGTCTATTATGTCTGTATATGTGTGTATGTATGTATATATATATATATAGAGAGAGAGAGAGAGAGATTTTGGAAGGGAGAAGAGAATGGGTGGTGCTCTGTTTCTGTTGCGCAAAGAGGAGTGAAGGAATAGAGCAGAGAGAGAGTTGAGAAGAATAGGCGGGTGGTGGAGCGTTTGGTTGTAGGAATAAGGGGGAATATTTAAGAATAAGAGTAATTTAGGGGTCAAAATTTGCTGACATAACCAATTTCAATTACTATCTGTAACAGTTAGATGACGGAATATATAGGAATAAGTGTAATTTAGAGGTCAAAATTTGCTGACATAACCAATTTCAGTTGCTATATTAAACCGGATTTCAGTTACTATACCTAACGGTTAGATGACGAGAAAAATCTGTGTATAGAGGGCTGCTAAATCCTATAAAAATAGTAAGTGCTTTTTATTTTTTCTTCTTAAGTTTTGAACGTTTTCAGAAAACACATTTAAAAACTCAACTAAATAAATGTGGTTTTTCAAAAAACTACAAAAACAAAAACACAATCAAACAAGTTCAGAATTCTCATTTCTTCACCTTCCATAAATCTTCAAACACAATTTAAGTCAATTATCATGCACACACACTATAAAGCATGAATCCCTTTAATGGTGGAATGAGACACATACATACAGAGCACAAGAGCTGGATTCAACACTGAATGCATTCAAAATTAACAACATGGCTTGCTTAGTAAGACATGCAAAGCCTCACATAAAGATGTTGCAAACCCAACAAATCCATGAGTTTGGGTGCATGGTTAGTTACACCTCAATCACATAAACATGAAATGGCTCAAGCACATATGTGATACAAATACTCATCAATATGTATCAACTAAAATCTTCAACAACTAAACTCAAATTTGATATAATGTAGGCCACACCCAAAATAAATTTGATCTACATATTTTATTTTCACAGTATTTTTCAGAATACAATGGCCAAAGTTCAAAGGGAGAAAGATAAGAGCAAACTTTTCATATGAAACCCTTTAAACTTTTCAAAACTTTTGTACAGAATTTTCAATACATAATGGTGTGGTTTCTTGTGATCCGCTCATTTCCAATGAAAACAACTACCATTGTCCTCAAAATTTCACAAATAACACTGCCACATCATTTTTGTCATGAATTTTGTATAAAGTTATATAAGAATATAATTTTTGAACTTGTAATTACAATAAGCCTACTTGCAAATGTAAAGTCAGCAGCAGCAATGAGATTCAAACCCAAAAACAAAAGCTCAAAATAAAAACTAAAGACAGATACTATGTTCAAAACACATGTTCTCTAAGCTCCATACCATAAGTTCCTTTCTTTTTTGAAAAAACAAACACACCATAAGTTTATGACTTTCTCTAAAAAAGCAACAAAGAAATATAATCACTATCCATACCCAATCAAGCCTCACCTTTGTATGGCTAAATTACCTATGTTTTTTACCTGCACACGCGGAAGAAGGGAATGAAAACAGCACCAACAGGAGAAATCACTGGCATACTCGCATAGCCGAATCATAATGGTTTAAGTTGTCCTGACACTCATCTGAAACGAGTTTTTTACCAAACCCTTGTTATTTTGAAATAGATTTCCCAAATGCAAATTGTTTTGAATTTATTTCTAAGACCCAGATTGTTCTTTAAATTCCTGTTTTCAAAACAAAACTTGACACGACTTAAAAACAACATAGGTTTGGAAAATATATCCAAAAACAGCTTCTATTTGGGAAATTTGTTTTAAAATGGCATGAGTTTAGTAAATAACTCCATCCAAAATCATGGCAAGCCAGTTATCCAGACGAACTCTTCAAATCGGCTACAATCTCACTGCACTTCTTCAAAAGGTACAACATCTGCTGAGAAATGTCAATGCTGTTGGTCGGGGCACTGGCATTCTGATAGCTCTTGCTGCTCGTTGCCTTGCCTTGGGGATATTCAATGTTGATGTCATCGACAATGTGACCAACACTGCGATTCTCATGCATAGCTGGGATTTGGGAAGGGAGAGAAAGCTGAGGCGGCAAAGTTGGGGGCATTACCTGATGAAAGTTCGCAACATTGTCCTTGATTGTGCGCGAAGATGAAATAGGATTCAGATAATTGCCAATAATGGAGCCACTGATTTTGTTAATGCTTGGCAGCATTTTATCTTCCCCAGAACTTGCATTCCCCTCCAACTTGAATCTGACATGTCGCGTCGCAGTCTTAACACTGTTGATAGTCACCATTTCATCACCTGGCGACTTCTTTAGAATCGAATTTAGGGGGACACCTGGGTGCAGAGGCAACTGATGAATTGCTGTAGACTTTGGTTCAAGAGATCCTTCCACAAGCCGCTTGCTTGACTCACCTGATTCAGGCAACTCTGGGGCTGAAACATTTAAAACTTGCAAGCGGTAATTTACCGTGATGTTGCCAAGGAAAGTTCTGTTGAGGACTGCGTGATTATACGCTGCCTCAGCACTAGACTTGTTCTTAAAAACAACCTTCGCAGTCGATGAATTCTGAAACACGCGAGTGGCTGATTCGTAAAGACTTCCAAAGCGTACGAATTTCGCTTTTAATTCTGGCACTGATGGCAGTTTTGAATGAAGCGGGAACTTCATCTTCAACATTGCTGGTTCAGAAGGTCCCTCAAGTATTTCTGGCTTTGTTGACACTGATGAACCCACCATTTTTTCATCTCCTTGAATTTTCAAATGCTTCTGGCTTCCTTCCTTCTTTTCTGCAGCCAATGAACTTAGCTTCCTGTATTTTTTTGGTCTCTTCATGGACTTCTCTTCCTGTTTACGAGAGGATTGACTTTTGCTGCCAGCCTTTGCTGGATCATCCAGTCTGAACGGCTTTTTCAATGGTTTTAGAGCAGAAGGTTGGCCCTTCACTTTCTCAACAAATAAACCAGTTGGTCCTTCACGCTGCGCAAGTATTGGATGCTTATCCATAGTAATAACTTCTTTTCCTTTTCTGACATTCCCATCTGTATCCTGATTTCCCAAAAACTTAGGGTTCATAGAAACTGGTGGAACTCTATTTTCTGAGATACAAATACCGGCCTTGCCAAATTTTGTAACTTTTGAAGTTTTCTGATCATTGCTCTGTCTGGAAGGAGATTTTTTTCTCTTTTGTTGGTCCTTGACTTTTACCCTATCTTCAAAGGCCTTGCGTTTGCCTAGGCTTTCACTGATCATTGGTTGACCACTCAATGGAGCTGTAAACAACAACAAAAAAAGCACTGTAAGTGAGAGAAGTAAAAGGCTACAATGTGAAGTGTTGTTCAATCAAAAACCAACAAAATTCTAGGCAAGTATACGCACAAGATTTGAAGATGAGCCATTAAAGGGATTTGGAAGAGGAAAAAACTCAGAGTGTTGGTCATTTAACTTCAGAACATTTTAGTCCCTGCTATTTTGGTTGGGTACCAAAGTCCGATATGGCCATTTTCCCGTAATATGATCAATTTAAATGCCACAGTGATTATTCAAATTTCTGGATTTCAATCATGGCGAATACAAAAAGACCAATAATCCTAAAGAATGTAACCATCTATGCAAACTATTACAAGCTGCTTATCATGAATCTGTTTGCATTAGAAGTTCAGAGATTGGGATGTCCCAGACACATCCCATGCAATAAGATGCTACAAACATAAGCAAAATTCAATGAATTAGCCCATGCTTCCATGTTTGAAAATGACACTATCCTTCTTCCTTAAAACTATGCTATCTAACTAGTACAAAGTAAATATTCTCGCAGTAATTTGAAGCATAAGTCTAGAGATTGCAGCTTGTAAAACAGCCACTAAATGTAGTTCAGATAGCTGTCACTGTTTAGGGTATTTTAAGGTATGACAGAGAATGAACACTGCATATAGAATAGATGTATTTACTCTTGCTAACCCCAGCTTGGGCAGGCCAAGAGTAAAATTATCAATCATTCGATCACAGTAATAATGATACTGAATTCTTAGAAGTAAAAAAGCTACACTGTTTCAACAACATAGCACGATAATGTGGATGAAAATGTTCAATCCCTTAATATGACAAACCCAGCATGAAATTTCAGGTTCAGTAATGCAAATGCTCCTCAGCGTTGATTTGAAAGATGAAATTCTGTTCACCCACAATCTGATAACATAAATTGCATCTTGCAAAATATTCCTGCCCTCCTGGACAAATTGATTTCAAACATATTCCCAAGTAATGTTTAAAAGAAAATAGAGAAAAAATGCATATCCAAATCAATACATACCTTGCAGTGGTGCTTTTTCTGGGTTATGTAAACCCACCGCTGAAACTCCAGGGCGTACTGGTTGTACCCCAAATGCCTGAGCATAGGTCTCATCGAACTCCTCAAACACTGCCCTCCGATAAGCAAGAACTAAAGCTACATTATTTGTCCATTCAACATTTCTTTGCACATCATCCCGAGGCATCAATGCCAATTGTTTCACGAAAGAAAGTGTCTTGGATGGCTGGAAAGCATCTCTAGCTCTTTCGATCTGCTTCTTGGAATACAGACCACCAGGTTGAAAGCCACTCACATCCACTTCAAAGAACCCTTCAACACTTTTAGGGCGAAATATGTTAGGCTTCCGGCAACGACAAGTCAAGCCAAGTGTAGCTCTCCGCTTCACCTCATCCACAGCCTCCTCAACAGCAGTTAAAAATTCTGGAGTGTTAGTCTGCTTTGATTTCTCTGTATAGTGAAAATCGAAAGGAATGAGTCTACCTGGTTCCAACCAACCACAGGTGCCATCACCATAAAATGCAACCAAAACTTGACCCTCTTTCTCCGCACGACAGATTGATGGAGAAGCTAAAGCTTCATCAAATATTTGCCCTGGCCACCACGGATGAGATTTGACCTTCCCCCATACCATATCACCAACCTCATATCCTGAATCTTTTAATGCATCAAACATTTCGACTGCAGTGCCCTCATTCAATGTAGATTCCAAACTGCCACGTGCGTCTCTTGCTTTTCCATTTCCCTTGGTCACCCTTGAAGAAATCACATCTTCCTTTTCCATCACGGCCATCAAATGGGCCATCTTAGTGCTTCTAGGAGCAAATCTATTGGTGCCCCCAATTGCCAGTTCCTTAGATTTGCTTCTATAATCTACACCTTCCCTCTTACCATCATGGACCCTAGATTTCTTACACTGCTCATTCATTGATTTGACATTTTTGGCAGCTGAATTACCATTGGAAGCCCTAAGCTTAAGTCTGCTGTACATGTCCATTGAACTGTGTTCTGAAGAATTCCTTATTTCCTTAGACCCCATTTTCTCTACTAAATGCCTTAGATCTTTAGTGTATTGAATGTCACGATTTCTCTCGCCTGAAGAATTCCTAGTTTCTTCCTTTGTTCTGGCAGGTCAAATTTCTTGACTTCTCTTGCTTGCTCTCAAATCCTTAGAGCTTTTATGTATTGAGTACGAATTGAATCATGAATACAGAAGATTCAGCAAAACCCTAGAGCCTTAAAAGCAATTTTTCCTGTTTTCCGAGCAAACAATTAAATCAAAACAGCTGCTACCAAAATCAAAATCAAATAATACGTTACCATTTTGAAAAGTACTTTCTTGCTTTCAAATCAAACATTGAATTGGTTTTACTTTAAAAGCCATAGAATTAATCCCAGTGTATATCTATAAGTTTGGAGATAAAATGTATCAAGGGCATAACCATGTATCAAAACCAGAAAACACATACCTTTTAGATCGTCTAAGGAGGGCTTAAGTCAGCCGTACATGTCCATTGAACTATGTTCTGAAGAATTCCTTGTTTCCCCGGACCCCATTTTCTCTACAAAATTCCTTAGATCTTTAGTGTATTGAATAGCTTGATTTCTCTCGCCTGAAGAATTCCTAGTTTTTCCCTTGTTCTGGCAGGCCAACTTTCTTGACTTCACTCGCTTGCTCTCAAATCCCTAGAGCTCTAATGTATTGAATACGAATTGAATCATGAATACAGAAGGTTCAACAAAACCCTAGAGCCTTAAAAACAATTTTTCCTGTTTTCCGAGCAAACAATTAAATCAAAACCGCTGCTACCAAAATCAAAATTAAATAATACATTACCATTTTGAAAATTACTTTCTTGCTTTCAAATCAAACATTGAATTGATTTTTATCCTAGTGTATACACAAAACATTAATTAAGCTTTATAAGTTTGGATATTAAATGTACCAAGGGTGTAAACATGTATCGAAACTAGAAAACACATACCTTTGAAGCAGATCGTCTAAGGAAATCATACACATTGACTGCTATACATAAAATCTCGTTTAAACCCTACGGTATCTATCTATATCTAAGCATATAGCGAGGGAGAGCGAGAGGGAAAGGGGAAAAATTGGGAGTATGATCTTTCAGTGTTAATGTGGACAGGGGTCCGATTGTGGTTACTAACAATACCAGCTCCACCGTAATCAGTACTTAGAGGAAGACACGTGTCAACATGGAAATTTTGTGAGCTATAATTTGTTACATGCACTTGTGCCACAATATTGAATAGGATGCTATATGATGTATTTGCAGCATAATATAATTGCACAAGCCAATATATACATACATACCATATATAAGCAAAAATTTACTTTTTGAGCAATGTTAATATTTTGGAATGTTAAGGTAAGATCACTAAAATTGAGTCAATTGATATTTTTTTAAACACAACACAAGCTATATCCTTAATTATACATTGTTAATTTTCTATTTAATGCATCACATATTGTGCTCTCTGATGTGTGCTTTTTTGTGATGCGACACGATGGAGGGTCATGTTTGTCATGGAAAAACGGAAGGCGTTTGACTAACACATTTTACCTGCATACAACTTCACAATTATAAATGAATTAAAATATATATTTATTGCGGCACATGGCACAAAAGTTCCCAAAAAAAAAAAAAAAACTATTAACACATGAAAAAAAAAAAACTACTAACACGTTACACATGAGGCATAATGTTTCTTTGTAACATGCAGCAAGTATCAATTTGGCTATATGCGCAAAACTCATTGATTATTCAAAGTCGAAATTCTTGTCTAATAAATTACTCTCTTTTCCACATCGCAGAAGTTTTACATTTTCCATCTTTCAATGCATCAAGCACTCAATTTTAGTGCTTTTATTTGACATAGAATCTAAAAAAATCGAGAAATTTTGTTTTTTGACTTTCCCTTTCTCACTCCTCTATCTCCTTATCTCCCTTAAATTCACAGCCTCCAGTTCTCTCACCTGCATCAAATATACAATCCTAGTGATTTAGTGTCCCGTTCCCTATTGCAAACCTTTGGTTTTTACAATAATTCCCTGTTTCCATACTATTTTATGAAACCTCATAGAATTAATTTTAACCCTAAATTTCTTAGACCAACCAATGATTTAACATTTTTTGACAACTGAATTACATGTCTCCCAGCATTGTTATTTTTAGAGAATACAATATTAGGGACTGATTAGGATATCATCCCCTATTTATATTAATAAAGATTAATAATTACAAAGAATCCCTAAGGCATAAAATAATTACAAAATAATAACCCAAATCATAATATATTATTCTAACACTCCCCTTCAAGCTGATGCGAAGATATTTCTCATGCCCAGCTTGTCTAAGATGTCATGAAATGGCTTACTTCCAACCCCCTTGGTGAGGATGTCAGCAAGTTGTTCACTAGACTGCACAAAAGGAGTACATATTGTGCCACTAGTGAGTTTCTCATTAATGAAGTGACGATCAATCTCAACATGCTTTGTCCTGTCATGTTGAACCGGATTGTGAGCGATGTTGATAGCGGCCTTATTATCATAGTATAACCGCTTGGAGTCCGTCTGATCAATACCTAGATCACTCAACAATAACTTGATTCATAAGAGCTCACACACCCCTTGTGCCATAGCTCTACACTCAGCTTATGCACTTGACCTAGCAACTACATTCTGTTTCTTACTCCTCCAAGTAACCAGGTTGCCTCCAACAAGGGCGCAATACCCTGAAGTCAATCTCCTATCAATCACTGATCCAGCCCAGTCAGCATCGGTATAAGCTTCCACACGAAGATGATCATACTTTGAAAAATAACGACCCTTACCAGGAGCAGACTTCAAGTACCTCAAAATTCTCATGACAGTCTCGAAGTGAATCTGATGAGGAGCATGCATAAACTGGCTAACCACACTGATAGCAACAGCAATATCAAGACGAGAGTGAGATAGGTAAATGAGTTTATCCACTAATCGCTAATAGCTCTCCCTATCAATAGCTACTCCTCCTTCATCATCCCCCAGCTTCTGATTGGGTTCCAATGGAGTGTCACAGGCCTTGCAGCCAAGCATCCCAGTTTCCTTCAACAGATCAAACACATACTTCCTCTATGAGATAAATATCCTATCCTTGGAGCGAGCAACTTCAATTCCCAGAAAATACTTCAAGCTCCCCTAGTCTTTGATTTCAAATTCACTGGCTAAATATTTTTTCAATAGAGCAATTTCCTCACTATGATCGCCCTTAAGAACTATGTCGTCTACATAAACAATGAGTGTTGTAGTCTTACCAAGTGAGGAATGTTTCACAAACAAGGTGTGATCTGCCTGACTCTGTTTAAAGCCATATTTAAACATAGCCTAAGTAAATCTCCCAAACCAAGCTCTCGGAAACTGTTTGAGACCATATAATGACTTTCGAAGCCTACATACTCGGCCTTCTGTCTGATGATCCTCAAAACCTAGAGGAATGTCCATATATACCTCTTCTTCGATGTCACTATGGAGAAAAGCATTCTTTACATCAAACTAATGAAATGGCCAATCTAGATTACTCTGACTGAATTCATCTTAGCCACAGGTGCAAAGGTCTCCTGATAGTCGATGCCATATGTCTGAGTGAACCATTTTGCAACAAGTCTAGCCTTGTAACGCTCAATAGAACCATATGCTTTGTGTTTCACAGTATACACCCATTTGCATCCCACAGGTCGTTTGCCCTTAGGTAACTCAGTCAATTCCCAAGTGTCATTCTTCCTAAGTGCTTTCATTTCCTCAATCATGGCAAGTTTCCACTCAGAGGTAGCAAGAGCATCCTGAAAATGGTTAGGAATGCTAACAGAGGAAATATTGGACACAAACGCTCTATATAAGAACGACAAATGAGAGTAGGACACAAAATTTGAGATAGAATGTTGAGTACAAGACCTCACACCCTTTCTCTTGGCAATAGGAGCATCAAGATCAATGGACTCAAGAGATTCAAAGTTACCTGGACTCTCATCAGAAGCAGGAGATGGCAGTGGAAGAGCAGAAGTGGTATCTTGTATCCAATTAACTTGCTGTCTGTCTTTGTCCCTAACATAAACTTGCTCTTCCCTATCCTTGATTACATTGGGTTCTGCAGTCCCCATAGAAGGTGGTGGTGCAAGAACAACTGGTTCAACCATAGGAATCACAGGAATCACTTCACACCAAGGCTCCCCCTACAGGGAGGACTGTGACACCGGAGAGGACAAGAAATAGAACTGAGACTCAAAGAATGTGACATCCATGGACACAAACCACTTACGAGAAGGAGGGTGGTAACACGTATACCCTTTTTTAGTAGGAGAGTACCCAAGGAAAACACATTTGAGGGAGCAAGGGTCCAACTTACCACGAGTAGGAGAGTGATTATGGACAAAACAGACACAGCCAAATATTTTTGGAGGAATAGAAATAAAGACTGGGAACCTAGGAGAATTTGAAGAGGAGCTTGTTTTTGCAAGACCTAGGTAGGAAAAAGATTAATAAGATGGGCAGCGGTGAGAATAGCGTCGCCCCAGTAGGACCTAGGCACACTCATAGAAAAACAAATGCACCGAGCTATGTCAAAAAGATGGAGATTCTTGCGTTCCACCACCTCATTTTGTTGAGGGGCATTGTTGCAAGAGGTCTGATGGATAATGCCATGAGTAGAAAAATAGTGTCCTAACCCAAAATCTATGTATTCATCCCCATTATCAGAATGGAATATTTTGACAGTAGCCCCAAACTAAGTATAAATCATCTTATGAAAATTGCGGTACACAGAGAAAACCTCACTTTTGTCTTTCATGAGATACACCCAAGTAGTACGAGAAAAATCATCAATAAATGTAATAAACCAGCGATGACCTTTCATAGACACAGCACGAGAAGGACCCCAGACATCAAAATGTATTAATGAGAAAGGAACTAAACTTTTATTAAAATTGGGAGCAAAAGAAACTCTATGTTGTTTTCCAAGTTGACAATACTCACAAAGAAATTCAGATACATTATTGTTTAAAAAAACAAATGGAAATAAATGCTTAAGTAAATAAAAGGAAGGATGCCCAAGATGCCGATGCCACAGCCATGTATCATCAGAGGTAGTAGGATCCATGGTGGAAGAATGAGCAAGCTTGTCCGGTTGATCTAGGAAGTAGAGACCATTTTTTGCACTACCACTGCCAATCGTCCTCCTCGTGACAAGGTCCTAAAAAAGACAATGATCAGAAAAAAAAATGTCACACTATAATTCAAATCCTTTGTAATACGACTCAAGAATAGCAGGTTAACAGAAAAATTGGAAACATGGAGAACAGAAGAGAGAGGTAAAGTAAGAGTGTCATGGATTAAACCTTTTCTAGAAATAGAAGAAACAGTACCATCTGCAATCCTAACTTTGTCCTGACCTGAAGAGGGCTTATAGGTAGAGAAAAGGTCAGAGGAGCCAGACATATGATCTGAGGCACCGGAATCAATAATCCAGGGTAAAGACTTATGAGACAGGAAAACACAAGGAGAAGAGGCTAAGTTACCCGAGCGAACAAAGGACGAGGAAGATGTACTGAGAGTAGTAAAAGACCGGCGGTCCAACAATTGATGCAGAACATCTTCAAGCTCATGAATAGTCATGCCAGAGAGACCATCAAAAGTCAGGCCAACGGAAGCAGAAGTAGAATCAAGTGTATCAACAGCACTAGACTGATGAGCCCGTGAAGAGGAGCCACGTCCTCTAGATTGGCCTGACCAACCTCCTCTAGAACCAGATCGATCACCTCGACCCCCGGATGGAATCCCATGAAGCTTCCAACACGTCTCACGAGTATGCATCGGCTTTTTTCAGTAATCACAGAATACAGACTCCTTAGCGGCAGACAGAGGGATGGGAGTCAGGCTGAGGCCATCTCTAGAAGTAGACAGTAATGCTGAGCGGTCAGTAGAGATAGGGGACATCATAGCAGACAGGCGACTCTCCTCATTCTGTACATAGACAAATGCCTCTTGAAGTGAAGGAAGAGTGTCCATACTCAGAACTCGACTCCAAACTGGATCATACTCCACATTGAGACTGGCCAGAAACTTGAAGACCCTTTCCTGTGCAATGAACTTCCTGTACCCGACGGAATCAGCAATGCAAACAGGCTTATAGTCCTGCACGTGATCAAGGCGTTTCCAGCTGTTGGTGATGAAGGTGAAGTATTGAAGAACCGTCTGCTCCCCCTTAATAGAGCTCTCAATGGAGCAGCATAACTCAAATGCCTGTGAAAAATTCCCTTTGCGGGAATAGGTGGTAGCCACAGCATCCCAAACATCTTGGGCAGTCTCCATAGACAAGTAGCCCTCACCAATGTCTGGTACCATCGAATGAATAAGCCAACCCATAATCAAAGAGATAGTAATCTCCCATTGGTTATAACCCGGGTCAGTTAATCTGGGTGCCTGTATCCTGCCATCCACATACCCCATCTTCCCTCTGCTCTTCAAAAACATAGTCAAACTCTACAACCACGCGAGATAGTTTTGACCATTAAATAGAGAGGTGGTGATTTTAGGACTAGGGTTAGGGTTATCAGTCATAGCAGTAGGTACAGGGAAACTCTCACTCCTAGGTGTCTGAGAAGTAGTAGA